CCGGGCCCAGTGGGCGTCACTCACGCTGCGGCTCCAACTTGGAGAGGATGGGCTGGGCTCCACTGACCGCGGCCGCCGTGAGGGTCCTCACGCCCTTCTCGGCCGCGTCGCAGACGGACTTGACGTGGGGGTGGAACTCCTTGGTGGAGGCGTAGGCGGCAGACACCATGTCGCAGGTGGAGCTGATGAAGGGCATGTTGGCCACGCGGTCCATCACGCTCGGCTGGAGGCGGAGAAGGGGCGCTCAGAAGGGGGGGGGTGGCGCCGGGGCTCCCCACCCCCCTTCACAGGCAGGAACTTCCTCCATTCCAAGCTCATTGGCTTGCACTTGGACGGGACGAGGACACGCCTACTGAATGCCAGGTGGAGGCCCTGGGGCGGTGAACGCGCCGGGCCGCGGACCCAAAGGTTGGCGGATCGAGTCTATCCAGAGGCACCTCCGAAGAAAGGTCCAAGAACTCAAATCACGACAAACCCTCTGGAGCACAATTCTACTGACACGCACAGAGTGTGTAGGGCTGCGAACCACAAGGTCAGCAGTTTGAAACCACCAGCTGCTCCTTGGAAGAAAGATGAGGCTTTCTGCTCCGGTACAGAGTTTGGAAACTCACAGGGGCAGTTCTCCGCTGCCCCTAGAGGGTTACCAGGAGTCAGCATCGACGCCAGGGCAGCCAGATGAGTCAGAGCTGACTCCAGGGTCACGGGTTTTTGTCCCTGAGTGAAGCAGTTGGTTCATGCGCTCAGCTGCTGACCCAAAGGTTAGTGGTTCGACTCCGCCCAGAGGCGCCTCACAAGAAAGGTCTGGCGGTCAGCTTCTGAAGCAGCAGCCTCTGCAAACCGTGGGGGGGGAGGCCCAGTTCTGCTCTGACCCATAGTGACCCTCTAGGGCAGGGTAGAACTGCCCCTGTGAGTTTTCGAGACTGTATCTCTGTATGGGAGTAGACAGTCCCGTCTTTCTCCCAAGGAGCGGCTAGTAGTTTCGAACTGCTGACCTTGTGGTTAGCAGCCCAACATGTATCCTCAACGCCACCAGGATATAACCCAAAATTACTGTTGAGTAATAGAGCTCCTAACATAGCAACCCCAGGAGCTCGGGCAGTACAGTAGGCTAAGCTGACCGCAAGGCCGGAGGTTCAAGTCCATCAGTCGTTCCCAGGGAGAAACTCGAGGCTGTTTGGTCCCATAAAGACATCGACGTCTCAGAGACAGACAGGGGCAGTTGCTAGTGTGTCAGAGTCCTCTAGTGACCTTAGTCAGGAGCCCTGGCGGTGCCGTGGTTACGTGTCAGGCAGCCATCTGCATGGTCAGCAGTTTGAAACCACCAGCAGCTCCGCTGGACAGAAGAAAGACTGGGCTTTCTACTCCCTTAAAAAGTTATAGTCTCAAAAAAAACAATTACAGTCTCGGAAACCCACCGGGGGCCACCGTGAGTCCCCACTGACTCTCCCTTGGAGTGCCTGGTTGGCAGCTGAGCGCTTTAACCACCGAGCCACCAGGGCTCCTCTGGTGGACTCGTGGACACTGGCGCTTTCTCCCCTCACCCAAGCAGCTGTCGGCAGCCCCTGGCTCCCTGCCACCGTGTGGGAAGCCCTGTGACACACAGTCCCGGGTCCCAGCCCTTTCTCACCTGCGGTACTGGTTCTTCCGCAGCCACCTGGGCGCTGGCAGGGGCCTCTGTCCCGTCGTCAGACATAGTGTTGGCAAGAAGCACTAGAGACGAGGAGGAAATAATCCAGGGTAGTCAGTCCAGCCCTGCCCTCCAGGGGAAAGTCCAAACCCACGCTGAAAGCTGGGGGGCAGAGGGCAGCTCTGCTGGCCCCACACTGCTCCCACACCTGGCTTCATGGAGCTGTACCTCTGGTACGGTAAGGTGCCCGGAAGTCACCTGGGGCTCTGGTGACAACGCAGGTGCTGACTCAGCAGGGGTGGGGCTAACGCACTCAAAGCGCACAGTGGATTCTGACTCGGCCCGACCCTATAGGACAAGGTAGAGTTGCCCCTGGGGGTTTCTAAGACTAACTCTTCATGGGAATAGAAAGTCTCGTCTTTCTCCCGCAGGGCGGCTGGCAGTTTCAAACTACTAACCTTGAAGTTAACTGCCCAAAGCATAACTATTATGCCACCAGGTAGTGTGGTTTGTCCCTGAACCCCACCTTGGACCCCAACAAGATCGGGCGGGACCCCTATGTGCAGAACACAGATGGGAGGCGGTGTGCCCACATCGTCAGTCCAATTCCTGGTGACCCCAGAGGCAGAGCAGAGTGGCTCCGCAGGGCTTTGTGGGAGCAGACTGCCAGGCCTTTCTTCTGAGATGCTTCTAAACAACGAAAATTCACTGCCGAGGCCCTACAGGACGGACGGTCGAAAATTCACTGCCGGGGCCCTACGGGACGGACGGTCGAAAATTCACTGCCGGGGCCCTACGGGACGGACAGTCGGGGTAGACCTGCCCCTGTGGGTTTCCGAGACTGTAACTGTTTACAGGAGCAGAAAGCCCCGGCGTTCTCCCGCACAGCGGCTGGTGGTTTCGAACTTCAGGCTTTCTGGTTAGCAGCCCAGTGAGAAACCACTACACCACCAGGGCTCCCTGAGGTGCTGTTGGCTAGTAGTCACGTGTGGCTAGTTGTCACATCTGGCTACGAGTTTGCACCACGAGGGCCCTCCAGGTGCCAGGAGCTGCTGTGTTGAAAGAGACACCTTCCCTTTGACCCAGAAACCTAGCTTCGGGGAAAGTCCCACACCTGGCCGAACACACTTGGGGGAGGTGTGTTTCCTGACACATGTGTGCTTACCTGCGTGGGCTCCAGACATGACATTGGGAACAACCTAGTTACCCAACGGCAGGGGCTTAGCCCAGTGCAGGAGGCAGATAAAGACCCGGAGAACCCGGCTGTGTGTGTGGTCTGTTCACTCAGCTGTTAACCAAAAATGTGGGGTGTTTTTTGTTTGGTCTTGTTTTATTTGGGGAAGGGGGGTCTAGCCCATTGACAAGGAGCCTTGGACAAAAGGGCTGGTGATCTGCTTCTGCAAAGTCAGCCCCTACAGCCCCCCGGAGTGCACTCAGTTCCACCCTGACCCACCTGAGGCTGCCTTGAGGGGGAGGTGACACAGACGCCTGGCTGGACCTGAACTAAGCCAGAGCCGAAGGTGCTCTCCCCAAACAAACAAACAAACTCGTTCACTGCCAAGCTGACGCTGACTCACAGCAACCCCAGAGCACAGGGTAGAAGGAACGGCTGTGAGCCTGTAGCCCTGTAGAAGAGGCCGGTGGTTTGGAACTGCCGCCCTTGCAGTTAGCAGCCCAGCGCATAACCACTGCGCCACCAGTGCTCCTTACAAAAGGTGCTCAGAGGGGCAAAATCATACTTGTGTCTGCCGTGGTGTAGAATCTCTCAAGGGTCTTGTAGAAAGGAGGACTGGGTAGCTGGGGGGGCGGGGACAGGGATAGGAGGGAGACTGCTGAACCCTGGTGGACACGCAAAGCTGCACCAGGTCCACGGCGGCCATGATGTCCTTTCTGACTCACAGTGACCCTCCTTGGGGTTTTGAAGCTGTCGAGCTTTACAGGAGCCTCGTCTTTCTCCTGACAAGCAGCTGGTGGGTTTGAACCACCCACCTCGCGGGTTAGCAGTCCAGCACGGCACCCACAGCGCCACCAGGGCTCCCTGAGCTCGTGGAGAGCACTTGCATTTGTTTTGTTTTGTTTTAAACTAGCGGGAACAGTGAAAAATGCCAAAAGGTTGGCTGCTGGGACCCTCCCCCGGGTGCCACTGAAGACGGCACGATGGCAACTTCCTCTGGAAAGATCTCGGCTGGGGCAGGGGGCAGTTCCAGGTCAGAATGCACTTGAAGGCCACCAAGAACACCCAGAGGGGCTCCCCTGTTGAAGCTCGTTGGCTGCCCTCGCCTGTGCCTCCTGCAAACCCAAAGAAGTGAGACTTGGGGTGGTGGGGAGGCGTCCCAGGTGAGCTAGAGGCTCCCTTATAGGAAGTGGGATGAGAGCCCCAGGTGTGCCTGACCTTCCTGGCCAGGTGAGACGGGGTGGGGACGGCATGCGTAGATGAGAGGGAAGCCAGGTGTCCCTGCTACATTGGACACGGCGTCTTGCCTCACCCAGCCTCAGACCTTTCACCTGTAAAAGGAGGGGAAAGGTTCTGCCAGCCTTGAAGGTGGATCACCAGACACATCTGGCCCCGGCCTCTTGAGCAACCCTCAACTTGACTTCCTTCCAGAGGAAGGAGGCCTTGTCTCCTGCCCCACCTTGCTTTGCCGCTTGTTCCCCAGGGTCTCAGGAACGCCAGGTCAAGTGGCAGCTTCTCGCTGGCCTGCTGGGTTGGGCAGCTGCACTGAAACCTGCCCCCACCCCCACCCACGGCTGGAAATACTGGAATCTGAAATACCCAGGGCATAGCCTTCAGCTACAAGCCCCTGGAGGTGCCACCAGTCAAGCACTCGGCCCCTGACCCGGGTGGTGGTTCGAATTCACCCACAAGTGCTGCGGAAGAAAAGCGATGTATTTCTGGAGCGTCGTATCCATCATGAAAAGCCCGTGGAGCCGGCGGGGTTGCTGCATGCCCGTGGCCACAGGTGGACTCTCCTTGAGTTTGACTATAAAGCAACGGGGTGTGTGTGTGTGTGTGTGTACGTGTGTGTGTGTGTGTGTTTAATCGCTTATTTTGTTGTTGAGGATACACAGCAGCAAAGCAGCATATTCCGGATTGGTGACATTGGTGGGATTCCTTAGGGTTGTGCAGCCATCATCCCCTTCCCCCGAGTCCGTCCTTAACCCCCACCCCCGAACATAAGCTCCGGCCCCTCAAGGTTCCCGTCTCCTCTTTCCAGCAGCTGGCGGCCATCTGATCCCACCCAGAGCTTTAAAAAGCACACCCCTCCCGGGAAGCCCCTCTCCTGGTGAAGCTAATGTGTGGTTCGGTTTTATGAACACTTAAGAACGGAGGCTTTGGTTTGGTTCGGTCTGAGCATTGCAACACACATGCCGAGCTCGGGGTCAAGGTCTGTCGGACAGCGCTGGGCAGTGAGTTCCTCTGGAGGACAGCCTTGGGAACCCTGTGAGGCCCGCCCCATTCCTGTCCTGCAGAGTGACTGTGAGTTGGGGGGACTCAGCGGCCATGGGTTTTGGAAACCGCATGTCCGCCACCTGTCTCTGTCAGTCTGTCCTATGGGGTGGTGGCTGGTGTGCTACGGTGAGGCTGCAAGCCCTCCCGCTGGGGTTTCAAAGACCAGCAAGCTGAAAGGGTTCAGTGGAGCTTCAAGACTAGGAAGAAAGCCCTGGTGATCTACTTCAGCAAATTGGCCAATGGGGGGAAAAAAACAACACACCCTGTGATCACAACAGAACATTGTCTGAGGCCGGGCTGGACAGGGCTGTGGCAATGGACTGGAACAGGCAGGATCGCAAAGGTGGCTCAGGGCCCCATGCCAGGTTTCCAGCCGTCCTACATGGGGCCACCATGAGTCACAGCCAACTCAGGGGCAATTAGCAGCAACGAGCAGGTGGCCACGTCCCCTCTGGCAGCCCCACTGGCCACATCTATGAAACAGGGATAACTTGCTGGGGGTTCCAGGCGATACTGGTCGTGGGTGATTAGATGAGGGTCCGTCCGACACCCACTAGGTGCTCCTGTCACCGCCTTCGGTCACCAAGAGGTGAAAGCGATCAGGAATGCACATCCCACTCCCTACAAAGCTCTCTCCCCACAGGAAAGTCAGGTGGAAGGCACACCTGCCTTGACCAAATGTCCCCAGGGCTCACCTGCAGCTCTGTCCTCTCACCTCCCAAAGAGGGGGGGCTCGGCCACCCAGAGACACAGCTGGGATATGTGGAGACCCAACTCCAAAAATCCCAAGGCCCCAAGGGCGCTGACAAGGGGGTCGACCACGGGATGCCTTGCACAACTTGGAACACACCACCCGGGGGCGGGGCTGGCCTGAGCCCTGGCCAGTGGGGGGGGTGGGGGGGCCCAGAAGGCGGGACCCAGAAAAGGGAACATATTGCAGGGGGGGGCTTAGCTTGGGTCAGGGGTCGCCCCTGAGGATGTCTGAATTCCTAAACAGGGAGGGCTGGGGCGGGGAGAAGCCGTGCCCACAAACTGCGTTTGCAAAGTCACTTTTTAAGAAGTTCATCCGACTTGGGGCAGGACGGCTCTGGCGCCCCTCCTCCCCCCGCCCCTTGGTAACTACCACTTGGGGGAGCTCTCTCAGCCTGTCTCCCTCAGGCCCCCCGGAATCGAGAGGAAAATGTTGAAAGTCTACGTCTGTTACAGAGGCTGGGTTTATTTTAGGGGAGAGGGAGGGCGCTGATCCCATAAAAGTCTCCCGGAAGGCCCTTCCTCGCCCCGGGACGCCCCTGAACTCGGTAGCCCCCCGCC